TACTCCTGGATCTGTGCTCAGGGATCACTCCTGGTGGGCTTGGAGGACCATATGAGGTGCTGAAGATTGAACCCAACTCAGCCAAATGCAAGGCAAAAACCCAACCCACTCCCTCTCTCGCCTTTATTTTATTTTAGATAGATAATGCATTTATAAGTTCAAAATCCAAGAGCTATAAGAATAAAAACACATTGGGGGTCCACACCAGCCATTGATCAGGGGCCATTCTTAATTGCACTCAGGAGACCACATAGGGTATCAGAAAGTAAAGTATTGTCACAGCCTGTGAAACCATTGTCACAACCACAGTTGTGTGCAATGTTGTAACTTCTGTACTATCTTTCTAAAAGATGCTCTCCAAAAAGAGCAAACACTTTTTACCTCTGTTCTCCAGCTACCCAAAACCCTTCCCTTGAAGGGATGGATGGTTTTGTAAATATCCTATTTTCTCTTTGTTTTTTGGATATTGTTAGTAGGCTTCTAACTTGTGAATAAACATCTCAGCCCCGTGGCAACCTGTCTTTCGAGAATATATCCTGTTCTACCAGACTTTCATGAATCAGAAGTTCAGATTTTATTTTCCAGATGACTATAGTGTGAGTTGTTCTCAACTGGGGAAAGAATGAAAGAAACAACAGGAATAACACTGGGAAAGATGTGACAACATTTATTTTAATGTGGAAGCTCTAAAAAAAAAATAATCCATACCTTCACATCAAACTCTGCCAAACAGGATTATACTTTCAAAAAATTTTGCTTTCCTAAGAAAAATTATACCTGGCTCTACCAAGAGTACAACATAATAGCCAATACTTTATGTTTGTATTGTTCTAAGTACTTTATCTATATACTACTTAAACTTCACAAGATCAGTACATTTTATAAGTGAAGAAAATGAACAGATAAACAAATTTAAAATTTTCAAATTAAAAATACTGGAGAATCTTTATTTTTGTTTTGTGTTTTAAAGTGTTTTTGGTTTCGGGGTCATACCCCAGCTTACTCCTGGCTCTGTGCTCAGAGATCTTTCCTGTCAGGGTTCAGGGGATGATATGGAATTCTGGGGATCTTTGTAAGAGGTAAGTACCCTATCCACCGTACCATCACTACAATCCCTAGACTTTTAAAGTACTTATTTATTTATTTTGGGACCACACTCTGCAGTGCTCAGGGCTTACTCTTGGCTCTGCATCAAGTGATCACTCCTGGCAGTGGTCAGGGCACCTTCTCAGACACTGGGAATTGAACCCAAGTTCAATTGTGCAAGGCAAACAAACACCTTTACCTGATGTACTCTCTCTCTCTCTCTCTCTGATCTCAGAATCTTTATTTTAATTAATTAATTTTTGGTTTGGGGGCCACACCCAGCAGTGCCCAGGGCTGACTCCTGGCTCTGTGCTCAGAGATCACTCTGGTGGGCTTAGAGGGCCATATGGGATGCTGTGTATCAAACCCAGGTCAGCAGCGTGCAAGGAAAGCATTCTACCCATTGTACTACTTACTGCTCTGACCCCCAAGAATCTTTGTTTTTTAATCTGTTAATAACTAACCACTTAATGGTAATTTTAAATGCATTTCTATTCTTGTTTATTCAAAACATTTAGTTCTCAAATTTTTAGGATCTATCAAAATTATTCACTCAAATACAGATCTTCAGACCTTAGCACTGACCTAGAGATTTAGAATTTCTGAATCTGATGAGAAGGACTTCAGGAATTCACATTTAAAAAAATTACATTTTATTAATTTAGTTTGGGGAAAGGCGTAGTCATAGTGTACATGCTCAGAGTTCATTCCTGGCTCTGTGCTCAGGAATCACTCCTGGGGGTGTTTGGTGGGCCACATGCAATGGGATAATGCACTTAATGTTAGCAGTGTGTTAGGCAAATGCCCTGACTCCTGTACTATCTATCAGGCTTATAATTTTGTTCCCCCCTCCCCTTTTATTGAACCACAGTTTATGGAGATACACAGTTACAAAGCTATTCATGATTGGGTTTCAGTCAGACAATGTTCCAACACACATTTCTTCACCAGTGAGCATGTCCCACCACCCACGTCCCAAGTTTCCCTCCTTTCCCCTCACCTCCAGGGATGTTCATTTTATTACTACCCCCTTAGGTGATTCTAAGGTTGGTGTCTCGTAAGCATATTTTGACAGTACGAATACTGTGGTACTTTGGACTTTTCTAAGTTGGCTACAACTGTGTCTCCCATAGTATATACTAGCATTCATTGTCTAGAATCTTGTCACAACCTTTGCAAGAGCTGCAGTTGTTGATGCTCTCTACTTTTGAGGTGAATTTTAATGAGAAAGTTGGCCAATGAGTTATGGTAGTAGGGATGCTTATGTGATTTTTAAGGCTAGGTCAGAGAAGAGGGGATTCAGTTTCCACTTTTGCTTCTTATAACACTGGTTCTCAGAACTCAGCCATCACAAGGAGAGGAAGCCCAAGCTGCCCTAGCGATCTGCTGGCTTGGAAAGCAATAGCTGAAGCAAGCTTGCAAGCAAACCATCTTGGAGGAAAATCTGGCACCAATCCAAACACCCAGGCTGACACAGCATACAGTTTTGCTTTGCCAAGCTTTGCTTCAAGCGAAGTGCCCAGCCAAATGATTGCTATCACTTTAAGCACTTCTAACCCAATGCTCATTCTGTCTTTCAAGGTGAAATCTTCTAGGCCTTCTAAATATTCTGAAAGTATCCTGATTCAATGTCATTGACACTTCTGGATTCTTCTAATCACAGGACCTCATATTTCAGACTGAGGTTATTTGAAGTTCTCATGATAACTTCTGAGGGATTAGCTTCTCATCTAAAAAAATCACTGATAAAAAGCCTACCGAATATATTTTAAGTTAGATAATGCATGCAACTCTTTTACCTTGTGCCCAGTTTATTTATTTATTTATTGCTTTTTGGGTCACACCTGGCGATGCACAGGGGTTACTCCTGGCTCTGCACTCAGGAGTTACTCCTGGTGGTACTCAGGGGACCATATGGGATGCTGGGAATCGAACCCGGGTCGGCCGCGTGCAAGGCAAACGCCCTACCCACTGTGCTATCTCCAGCCCCTGCCCAGTTTATTTTTAATCATTCTTAGCTTCTTACATTCATATCCTTTCTTTAAATCATACCACCCTCACTTCCACCTTCACCCTCCCTTCTGGCTAGATCCTTCTCCCAGGCTATCATGTCTGACTGTTCTTTTCTACCAGACTAGTCAAATTTCTACTAATCCTTTTGGTTGGTTTTTGGTTGGTAATGCACAGGGGTTACTCCTGGCTCTGCACTCAGGAGTTACTCCTGGCGATGCTCAGGGGACCATATGGGATGCTGGGAATCGAACCCAGATCAGACACGTGCAAGGCAAGCGCCCTACCTGCTGTGCTATCTCTCCAGCTCCTCTACTAATCCTTTTGGAATCCCCTTTTTCTTTTGAGAAGGTTTTTCTGATTTCTCAAGCAATTAAAACCTCTGTGTCGTCCAAGAGCATACTGTAAAAATCTCTCTTAGAGCCTTTAACACATTGGATCGCAATTAAATAATTGTGCGGTTTTTACTGGACTTCCTGGAAAACAGGTTGGGCTTTTTGATGGTGATCTCATTTACTTTTTTGGTAACTGGTGCGGAACCCAGGTCTCCTGCACCTAAAGCATCAGTTTTGTTCATCCCTGATGCTGTAATCTCAATTTTTGTCTTTGGGCCACATCTGGCATCTAGAGATAATTCCTAGCGGGCTCTGGGGACCATACAGGATGATGGAGATCTAACTCGGATGGGTCAAGGCAAGCGCCCTACACACTGTAAGTCACTCTTGCTCCCACGTGATGCATTTTCACTCTCCAACTCCGAAACACAGAAGTAGTTCTGAGATCAGATGTATCTCTGAGCCTAACTGGTAAAGTGGAGGCCACTACCTCATAAAACTATGGTGGGGATGAAAAGAGCTTCTACTATCCTCCACTGCCAGCCATACAGAAAATAGCAGAAATACAGAAAATGAATTTTGTGCATCACAGAAGCACAAGTGCTCCCCCCATCCCTAAAACCCATTTTTCGATGCCTGCCCCACGGATAATCCCTCTTTCAAGGATCATTTTCATCTCTAATCCGCTCCTCAATCAAATCTCCAACTAGCAACTGTGTGTGACTTAAACACCAGGACCCGGGAGGCGGGTGTGTGTGTGTGTGTGACTCTAGCCCGTGCGCAGTTCAAACTCTCGGGCTGGAATTTTCCTGGAGGACGTGCGTGAATGTGTGGAATGTGTGTGTGTGCGCGTGTGTGTGTGTGTGTGTGTGTGTGAGTGTATGCGCGCGCAGGAACTCTCAGGCTGCAGTTTTCCTGGAGGACGTGTGTGTGTGTGTGTGTGTGTGTGTGTGTGTGTGTGTACACGTGCGCGCGCAAAAACTCTCAGGCAGCAGTTTTCCTGGAGGACTTGTGTGTGTGTGTCTCAGCGTGTGTGTCGGACTCCGGTCCATCCATCTGTGCATAGTTCAAACAACAAGAGAAGTCTCAGGCTGGGGTCTTCCTGGAGGACGTGAGCGCCGCACACATTTGAGTTTCGCTAGCGCGTTTCCAGCTTCCTTCCCCCGCCCGGAAAGGAAGGATGGAAGGAAGCAAGGAGAGCCCGCAGCGGTTCCCTGCAGCGCCAGCCGGGCCGCGCGCCACGGCTGACACGTTGAATAGCCGAGGCGAAAGGATCGCACTTGAACAGTGCGGGCCACGCAGGCCGCCAGGCCTCTCTGTTACGTCGCTCAGCGGGCCCCAGATCAGGGGCCTCGAGGCGGGCTGCGGGGTGCTGCGAGCCGGCGGGTCCCAGGCTCCGACTCCGAGCGCCGGAGCTCCGCGCCACCGCCTCCCCGCCCGGCCGCAGCCCCACGGCGGCGACGCGTCATTTCCGCCAGTCCCAGCTCGCCGCGGGGGGGGGGGGCGGGGGGGGCGTGGGGCGGTGAGCGCGGCGGGAGGGGGTGGGGGGGTGGGGGAGGAGGGCGGCGGGCGGGGGGCGGGGCGCAGCTCTGAGGGAAGCCCGCGCCCGCGCCCGAGCCGGGACTACATTTCCCGAGGGGCCTCGGCGGCGGCGGCGGCGGCGGGCGCGGCAACGTCCCCCGGAAGTGGAGCCCGGGACTTCCACTCGTGCGTGAGGCGAGCGGAGCCGGAGAGCAGAGCCGAAGCCGAACTCGGTGCTGACAAGATGGCCGGGCTGCCCCGCAGGATCATCAAGGTAAAAACCGCCCGGGCGGGCCGGCCCGCGGGGCCTCGCGTCCCCGCTCTCTGCTCTCGGCTTGCGGGCTCGGTCGGAGCCGGGAGCCGCCGCCGCCGCCGCCGCCGCGGCCCTGCGCTTCCCCCCCGCGCCGGCCCCGTCCCGCCCCGTCCGGCCCCGCGGCCCACCCCGAGGGGAGGCCTGAGGCAGCGCCGAGAGGGTCGGGCCGCCGCGGCGGGGAAGTCGGGGCGCCGCGGAGGAGGGGGCCCGCCGGAGACTTCCGGCCCCGCGCTGGAGGCTTCCGAGCGGCCGCCCGGGCCCGGCCTGCGCGCCTCGGCGAGAGGGAGGGTGGGGCCGCAGCGTGCGGGGCTCTGCTGTGGGGCCTCCGCCGCCTCTCGGCCCACCCGCGCCCGGGCTGAGGCGGCGGGCTGGGTGCCGGGGGCGGGGGTCGTGGCCCGCCGCCGCCGCCCTCCCGCCACCCGGGCCCTGCAGCGCCTCCCCCACTCACCCCGCTTCCCCCAGGTCCGGGCGCGGGACCCGGGCGCGGGCGGGAGGGAGGGCGGGCGCGGCCGTCCCGCGAGCGGAATGAATGAACTCGGGCAGCTTGAGGCCCGGCGAGGTCCCGGGCGGGCCGCGCTCGGCACCGGGCGCGCCCGGGGGGCCGCGGGAGGGGTCCCGCGGGGTGGTGCCCCGCCGCCCTGGGGCTTTCGGGGCTCCCTCCTCTCCGGGCACGCTTCCGCTCGTTATCTTTTGCAAAGCGAAGTGATTTGGCTCTGCTTGGCCAACTCGGCCCGCCGGGTCGTGTTGGGAGGGAATAAACGGCGTGAGCCGAAAAGTCCGGAGTTGCCGGGTGGGGCGGGGCGGCCGCAGGTAAGGTCCAAGGGTGGAGAGCCTCGTGGAATCCAAATAAAATTGATCTCTTAACTGTGATGATGATTTTTCCTTTTTTTGTTCCTGGATTTCGTGTGCTTCTCTGTGAAACCGTTCTGCGGCTCTTCACGCTAGACTTTGACAAGTACATATGGAACTGTGAAGTCTTAATCGACGTGGTGGTCTTTGTAAAGATTCTTGCAGCCCTTTGATGGCCAGTGTCTTGATTGAGGGTCTCCCATCCCCCATTCCCCCGCCCTAAATCCGACCTGGAGATTTTTCTCCAGGATCAAGTGTAAACGGAGGAAAGGGACTGAAACGTGCTGTGCCTCGGCACGGCCTGGCGAGGCGGACACCCCACCGCACCATCTCCTCTGATGGCATCCGGTGAACCTGCGTTGGAGTCCAGTGGTTGGGAAGTTTTGGGGTCGGGGGGGGGGGGACCTGCCTGCAGAAACCTGTTGATGAAATATAGTTAAGTTTAGTGCTGTGCGGCCGATGCAGTGAAAGAATCTGCAACGGGGAGTTAATGAGAGAAAGGGGGCTTGAGAAGGAGAATGGAAGGATACTGAGAGTGCAGAGAGTTTCGTGGTCCACCAGGTGCCCGGTGCGAAATTTATTTTATTCTCAGTAGTATCCGGCTGTGCCCAGGACAGTTTGATCTTGCCATGAGGTCTGAACACCTTCACCTGGTCGGGAAGGTCATGTTTGTTGAGGTCCCAGTTAGAAATGAGGGATGGAGCTAGACCGGCTCGCCAAGTATCTCACAAGCACACAGAAATGGTGCAAGACAGCCAAATGAATTCCTCCTCATTCAGTTTATTTGGCACGTAATTATTTGGTTGGCACTGGGCATTTTGCTCTTTAAACCAACGCAGTGATCATTTATATGAGCTCAGTTTTACAGTATCTTGATAGCATCACTCTAAAGAAAGGTGTCTTGATTGGGGCTTACCTTGTAAAAAGGAACTTTTACTTTTGTGACCTGTGACAGCTTAAAACCATTTTCTTTAATCTCTAGGAAGGATTAAAAGACAATGGTGTTTCTTTTTTCCCCCTAGTGCCCGTGTCTTTTTAAAAGTATTGAGTTTTTTTTTTCCATAAAAAAACGAGTTTTGTTTTGGGGCCACACCAGTCCTTGCTCAGGGGTTACTCCTGGCTCTGCACTCAGGAATTTCTCCTGGTGGTGCTGGCGGGGATCACATGGTACATGGGGTGCCGGGGATCAAACTCAGGTTGGCAGCATTCAAGGCAAGTACCCTATCCGCTGTATTGTCTCTCCAGCCCTAAAAGGTGCCCCCCCCCCCAAAAAAAAAAGAAAATTTAATGTGACCTAGCGGTAAAGTTCCTGCCTGGCATGGCATGAGACCCTGGGTTCAATCCCAGTACTGCTAAAAAAAAAGAAAGTCTGGTGTTGTGTGTGTGTGTGTGTGTGTGTGTGTGTTTTGTATTTGGGCCACACCTGGCAATGCTTAGGATTTACTCCTAGCTCTGTGCTCAGGGATCACTGCTGGTATCATGTGTGGTGGCTAGACATAGAACCAGGGTCAGCTACATGCAAAGCAAGCACACTACTTGCACTATGATCATTTGTGCTCCAAAAGTCTGTTTCTTTCAATTACAATACAAGGTTCTGTGTGGAATATAGTAATGGTGTTGGTTGGACATTCTTACTGTCATGGTTGACAGACTGAGTAGTTTTAATTGTCCACTATTAATATGATGGAATGTATAATAAAATAGTTAACATGATGAATCCTTTAACCATTTGATACTTGTACAAATCTTTGTGAAGTTGATAGTACATTTCACAATCTAGAACCCACTCACTAGTGGGTTTCTTAGGATTGAGTCTTAACTAGGAAGTTAAAAATTGAAACTTTAGAGTGTGATTATCCCTTGCCTTAGTGTGATGAAATGACAGATATGTGAAAGTGTACCTACAATGCTGTAAATAACTGTACAAACATGAGATGGCTTTCTGACTTAGTATTCAACTATTTGCCATGCCATTTATTCTTTCCAGCCCAGAAGCAAACTCTGCACTGTTTTTGTTGTTTAGTTTTTGGGTCACACCTGGCAGTGCTCAGGGCTTTGTGCTGGCTCTGTACTCAGGAATTACTCCTGGCGGTGTTTGGGGTACCAAGGATTGCCAATTGTAAAATCCTATGTGCTATATGTTACCTTACTCCAACTCCTGCAGCCTGTACTTTAAAACTTACCCTGAAGTGCCAACCTTGGTGAGCACCGCAGTCAAACTTGTGTGATGGCGTGGAGTTTTCAAAAAAGTGTTTCTTACATGTGTTATGCATATACATTCTCCATCTCTTGGAAACTCCTATTTAGTTTTATCATTTGTAGCCTAGTACTTTACAGTACTACTTTATTAATAAACAGTAACTAGTGTTACTTTTATTTATTTATTTATTGTTTTGCTTTTTGGGTCACACCCAGCAATGCTCAGGGGTTACTCCTGGCTCTGCACTCAGGAATTACTCCTGGCGGTGCTTGGGGGACCATATGGGATGCTGGGAATCGAACCCGGGTCGAACGCTTGCAAGGCAAGCTTTGCTGTGCTATTGCTCCAGCCCCACTAGTGTTACTTTTAAAAATATAGATTATATCATTCTCTTGTTCAGAATTATACAAAGCTTTCCCATTTCATTCTTGAAAATTAGCTTTCTCCTCTCCTAGCCCCCTACCTCCCCCACCCCCCCACCCCATGTTTCTGGGATCATCTACGTCTGAGGTCTTCTCTGAAATTCTTGCCTTGACTGATTCCACTGCAGCTTCCCTCCTGGCTATTGCATTGCTTGTTTGGTCAGTTGTTTAGTTGTTGTTTAGTTGTTAATCTACAGGTTGCGTTCTTGGAGAGGTCTACATCAAACTTAAAACAATTTCCTTGGCCCCTAGTTTAACTTTGTCTTCATGTTCCTTCTGCTTTGGGTAACACTTTCTTACTAGATCTAGTTACACTATTATTTAATTTTGCTGCCACTAAAGATGCCAGGAAGGTGGGAACTCTTTATTGAATCAAACTCATTCATGATTGTGATTCACATGTAAAATGTTCCAACACCAATCCTTTTACCAGTGTCTATTTCTCTCCAGTTTCTCTCCCGCCCCCAGCCTGCCTCTACAGCAAGTACTTCTTTCTTCTTAGGCACTGTGGTTTATGTACCACCAATAGGATATCGTACATATCACTTTACCTCCTTTCCGCACAGCCCTCTAGAATGACCACTTCCCTACTTCCCTCTATCATTGCCACAGTGTTCCCTGACATTTACCCCTTCCCCACACAGTGGCAAGCTTCCCACCAAGGACCAGTTCAGTTCTTCCTTTCTATGGTCATTAGGCATTTGATATTCCCCTATGAAGTTTTTTTTTCTCTTTTGTAGTTCACTTAGTTTTTTATTTTTTAATTGAGTCACTGTGAGATACACAGTTAGAAAGTTGTCTTGATAGGGTTTAAGTCATAAACTGTTTCAACAGCCATCAGTGTACATTTCCCATGGGACAGTGTACCATCCATGTCCCCAGTTTCCCCTCCCATCTCCCCACACAACCCCCTACAGAGTTTCTTTATATCATACACATGAGAGAAATCATTCTGGGTCTGTTCCTCTCCCTCTGATTTTGCAGCAAATTGCATGACTTAATTTTTTTTATTGTGGCTGAGTAGTATTCCATTGTGTATATGTACTGTTGTTTCTTTATCCAGTCATCTCTTTGTGGGCATTTGGGTTGCTTCCCTGTTTTGGGTATTTTGGGTCCTATGGAAGTTTAATTTGTAGGTTTTTGAGGAATGTCCATATTGTCTTCCAGAAAGGCTGGACCAGTTAACATTCCCACGTCCTGGTGGAGGGTCCCTTTTTCCCATATCCATGGCAGCACTGGTTATTGTTGGCTACAATTTTCAACCTTTTGTTGTTGTTGTTGATTTACCGTTAGTTGGCATTACTGCAGAATTTCAGGGGTAAGGGTTTGCATTTCTGTAAGTATGTCAGACTCAGCACCTAAAACCAAAGTTCCAAAGTTGGGTGGTAGAGCCAACCTATCACAAAAATGACCCTTTCATCCTGTCCCTTACCCCTGCTTTTCCTTCCTGTAACCACCATACTTTTCAGTGTGTCTGAAGTGATTATTTT